CCAACGAATAGTCGGATTGACCGTCACATTATAACGCCCCCACGGCTTAAAGGGCGAGCATGTTTGGTGTGATGGGGATTCGAACCCGCGAACCTCAGAGTACGAGTCGAGCGCCCTAACCACCTGGCCATGCCGGGCCTTTTCTGTTGTAAGTAATAGTTTACATAAGTTACCTTATATCGTGAAAATCCTTCCGAAGAAAGCTAGAAAAACACTTACTTCTGAGATCGTATCTAAAATTTTTTTCATGTTCTCTTTTCTCTTTGTCTTTAGTTTTTCCATGGCGTCCATTTTTCCAAGCACAATATCAATCTTAACACCAATTTTCCCGATAGTTTTTTCCATTTTATCTACTCGTCCAGAAATACTAGAATGTGGAAATAGACGACATGTAACATTCTTTATATAACAGAACTTGTGAACTTTATTTCGTTGCTATTACTAGCTATTAACATTTCTGAACAACACTCTGTCACTGAAGCTCTAAGAATATAATGTTATTTTAAATGACTTACCGGTTGAATGAATTATCAAGCATACCTGTAATCATAATCTCCTACACCTAACTGGTAACTTCCATATTTTAAGACAACAATGGGATCTAAACTTCAATGTAATGTATTTCATTGTTGTTATCTGATTGTTATTCTCCTAAAACACATTAAAGAAATAGGCAGACCTTTGTTTACTTTTTAACAAAGTGTGTGTTTCTACAATAAAATTTCATTTTGTAACAAATTATAAATTTTCTCAAGTTTAAAGAAAAGCTCGGTTTCAACCAGGGACACCTTGGTTGGGTGTAGGTTTAAATAACAAATAATTAGGCTTAACTTGTCATAATAAATTGTGGAAATTATAAGCGTGCCCATATTTCAGGATCAAAATCAATAACATCGCGTAATCGTAATCCTATTCTAGAGCGGATGTAGTGTATAGTATGCACTCCCCCGAAAGAAACACACCAGTATATATAATACTTACAATTTCCCAGTCTTTATCATACATTCTATTTGCACTCCCCAGTTTTAATTATACGTAAAATAAACACTCTCTCCATTTAATCTACACGCCCCAATATTTATTAAATGTGAAATATGCACTTCCCTGTATTTATTATGCATAGAATATGCCTCCTTTGACTTTATTTTACGTTGTATTTGCTCTACTCAATCTTTATTATACGTAAAATAAGCTCTCCCTTTATTAAATCTGCACTTCCAAAATAACACCATAAGTAACATAATAGTAAGTAACAAAATTATAATTTTCTCTAGAAACCAAATATTATTATTTTCCCTTGAAACCAGAGTAAAAATCTAAAGTAAGTTTGTGTTCTTACATCATCATCATAATTATATTTTTTAATTTAGTTTATAAGGTGAGGAATGTTTAAAAAGCAGAAAAGAACATTATTTTACAGGCTTTAAAAAAAACATTACTTTTCTATTCAGGAAAACCAAATGTGACACAATCTCAGAAAATGAAAAAAAAAAAAACATTTTGCGGGTTTACCAGACTTTATTAGGCTGCTCTACAGCAGTTTAAAGGCTACTAGCTAATGAAAAAGTGATTTTAAAGAGAATCAGCAAACACAGCAAGAGAATGTTAAGTTGAAACAAATCTTTTAATTTCACTGTCCGTTTTGAGTATCCCGATGAAACGAAAGAAACAGGAGAAAAAGGAAACTTTAGATGAGTAACAAAACTTTTCAACGTGAAAGAAGACATGCTATATTACATAAGAACTTTGGAAGATAAATCTACTAAAGAGCTTTTAAATGTAATGATCAAATATTTAGCTTTGTATAGGAATACCTTCGACTGAAATGGAAAAAAAGATACCAAATGTAATTATAGATTTTTTTTTATCGATAACTTTTTATATTACTTAACGGTATGCTGGAATTTATTTAGCATTTTTTTGTAAAGGTTAAATGATTGGTATCTCATTCATTTATTCTCATTCTTGAAACAGCCGCCAGAAATTTCATTTCCATTTTTATTGAATGATTTATCAGAATTCCGTTCCTCTGTGCACCCTTGTGAGGCTCAGGTAATAACCCTCAGCGACACGGCTAGGGTTTTCCAGATTTCTGATACAAGACAGCACATCAGCACCAGAAAATTGACTCCCTGTGCAATCAGGGAACATAGAGACTATTAAAGTTTCTTTTTTTCTCTATTTACCATTTTAAAATGTTAAAACTTAGTCGACTCTCACTTAAAATTTAGGCATGAAACTTTTATAGTAATAATTCACGTACAATAAAAATAGAAGAAGAATGATAATCATCTCAGTGGCTTATGTTGCGTAGTTCTGTAAAATCGAAACAGGGCAGTGTAAAATACACATAGGGTAAGCACTAGGGAGTACAAGTAATAATAACTAGGGAGGAAGGGTCGGGGGCAGTGCTTATAATATGTTAGACGAGTTTAAAAGTGTGCGCCTCATATTAATTACATAAATGTCACTTTAATAATCTTCCTTAACAATAATTTTACAATAATGGTATTTTTGTTCTGTATATAGGGTGTCCCCAAATGAATATACGAAAAAAAGGTGAATACATTTTTTTTGGTTATTTGAGATAACAACAAAATTCAAAACAAAAGACCTTCTGAAGGCTTGAAAGTTTTATTTAAGTTAATTATTATTTTGATTATATACATTATTTATCATTATTATTTATGAATTGTTTTATTTCAAAACTGACCCTGTTTTTGAGTAAAATGACAATTCCTGAAGAGTTCCCCCGATTTAATCTCTTTGGACTTTTATCTTTGAAGCTTTTTGAAAACAAAAATCAACCATAACTAACTAAGGGATCTTGAGGAACTGAAACTTCGTATCCGTGATGCTGTCATATCCATCCCTACAGCTGTGTTGGAACTTGTGCTCTCAGAATTAGATTATAGCTAATGAGGAAAGATATTATTATCTTCCAGCGTGCATTCAGTGATCCAGGGAAGCAGTTTACATTGTGCTGCTCTCTTGTTTTTTTTTCCACATTAAAGAAATATGTTCATTTGAATTAGATATAATAAGCGTTCATAAAAATAATTCTTAAAACTATGAGTTACCGCTCTCAACGAAAACTTTAACTGTAGCTTATAACGCAATGTATCAAAGGTTTAGATAAAAATGCAACAAAATGAGCAATTGTTTTCATTTTCCTACGTCTCTTGTTTAATTGATAATGATTCACTCTCGTTGATGTCCCACCCTAGGGACAAAAACTTCCTAGGTAGTAGTATAGAATACAGTAATTTAAAAGGTGAAAATAAAAAAAAATCTGGCCAAGGGTTCAAACCAAACGTTTCATTAAGGAACTAACAGTAAAAATTTAGGTGAATATCCTCAAGAACTATTACACTGAAAACCAAAACAGTTGAGTTCATAAAACGTCGATTACAATTATCTCATAAATGATTTAATCCCCACGTTTCACAATTACTTACCTGTTAAGCATCTCTCACTGTATAATATAGTGACCTTCAAAACTCATATTATAGTCTACATATTTAGCATCTCCTTAAATACTAGTATCATAATCTAACCATTGAGCATCTCTTTAAATACTAATATCATAATTTATCCATTGAGAATCTCTTTCAATACTACTATATTGGCTTACCTGTTGAGCATATCTTTAAATACCACTATCATAGTTTACCTAATGAGTAGCCCTTTAGATACCAATATAGTGCAGCGTCTCTTTAGATACTACTACAGCGCAGTATCTCTCTAGATACCAATATAGTGTAGCACCTCTTTAGATACTACTATAGTGTAGATTTTACAAAGTATATGCGCTCTGGATTGTAGAGGTAGGTTGATGGTACTAGGTATCATAACACCAGTACATTCACCTAGAGATTACTAGAATTATCTCCCATGGAATATCGTGCCTAGACAACATTTAATGATTTAACTCAGTGTTTCTCAACCTTTTTCGCCGAAGCGCCTCCTTCAGCAAACAATGAGCGCTCATGCCCTCTTCTAATAAAGTTTTAGACCATTAAGACATTTTACGAAAATTAAAATTGTAAGGCAATAATATTCAATTCTTATGGCATAATTTTAACAAACATAACTTTTGAAACCCTGAAAAAAGTTTACTGCCCCTGAATTTAAAAAAACGCCCACTAGGGGGCGGTACCGCCCATATATGGAAAACACTGATCTAATCGACGTGTGTCTCTATAATTTTTTAACACTGACGTACCCGTTGATCATCTCTTTAGAAACATCTCCTTCACTTCCATTAAATGGATAAACACAGTCTTCCTGCTGTTTTCGAATCTCTCTATTCAACTGGGTTTTCTCACCTTCCAAGTCAGCCAGCATCTGCTTTGTTTCTCGGGCATCTAATTCCCGGTTTCCCGCTTTGTCGTACTTAGCAAATAACATCTCGATCTCAATCTCTGTGAAATTTTGCCTACAAAAGCCGAAAGAAACGCATTTAAATTCCTATACGAAGATATACACTGACGTCTAATCTTTTCGCAAACATATTGGCACATCTACACTCATATTAAGACGTAAGCTTGCAACTAAATTAAATTCAGCGCAAATTTTAAAACTTTTTCCTTTTTAAAAACACCTAACAAAATCACATTCCCATAGATGTTTTTAAAGAAATTAAAACTAATTAATAAAAATGTTTCAAAAAAATTCTTTTTGCCAAAAAAAGCAACGTACTGAATAAGAAAAAGTATTTAAAATAATTATATATATATTTATCACAGATAACTAAATGTACGTATAAAAGTAGCAGTGGAGTATTGTACTGTTTGTAATTAAGCACAAAGCTACACAATGGGCTATCTGTGCTCTGCCCACCACGGGTATCGAAAGCCGGATTCTAGCGTTGTAAGTCCGCAGACATACCGCTGTGCTACTGGGGGGCGCAGTGGAGTAGCTTTTTCCCATCCACCAAAGTAGCTGTTAATAAAATTCTAAATTAATAATTTTGATTAAAGTCTGTTACGAAGTTAGGTGTAAATAACATAAGTCGAAGTTGAGAGAAATTAGTTCCTAAAGAATTAGGGGATTACAGCACTCTAAGTAATTAGAAAATTATTGGAGTGAGTGGCTGCCTTTTTCGTAAGCGACTTTGGAGGTTACAGAACCTCCTATGATTATGGGAGGTTGTAATTCGATATAAGGGAAGCATGTGTGTTCAGTGTGGTACATAAGAGAGGAACAAAAAGGTTTGGTTTTGAATTTCACTCAAAGCAACATGAGGATTATATGCGCTAGCCGTCCCTAATTTAACAATAAAGAGCTAGAAGGAAGGCAGCTAGTCATCACCATCCACCGCCAACTTGGGCTACTCTTTTTCCAACAAATAGTGGGATTTGACCCTCACATTATAACGCTCCCACAGCTGAAAGGGCAAGCATGTTTGATGAGACGGGGATTCGAACTCACGACTCTCAGATTTCTAGTCAAGCACCCTAACCACCTTTGAGAGAGAGCAAATGATTTGTTATTGTTGTTTTTTTAAGTCATATTGAGCTATCTGCTGTGTCTACCGTGGAGAATCGAATCCCGGATTCTAGTGTTGCAAGTCAGTAGACTTACTGCTGTCCCACCAGGGGACGAGGCAAAGGAAAAAAGAAATACGTTGCCAGTAAGAAACAAAACCTAATTTTAAATCTATGTGTTGTTGATTATAGTAATGAACATCAATTTGCTATATTTACATTTGTATGAGTCAATTCTTGATAAAACCTAAATAAAGTTGATAAACATAAGAAGAGAAGGTAGCAAAGTGGTGTCAGAGCGATGAAAAAACAACAACATTGAACAAGATAACTTTGTCTTCTGACTCAAATTTAAGGGCAATATCTTCATTTAAAAATAAATAATATTTAGCCGCGGCATAGCGGCTTATAGAATGGCTCTGAGTTTTATTTCAAGTACAAACTTTTAGCTCATAGCTCCATATCTTTACCGATTTCAGATCTAATTACAGTCGCGGCTATTGAGGATTCCCTCTTGTTTCAATTATTTTTATGCAACCTAAAATCTTTCCTTCATTTCTCGTTCTACTAATTTACAGCCGAGTAGTCAACTTCGTGTTTTTATACGTAAAAGGCGAGATAATATAACATAGTTTTACCGTTGTAGAGCGTGACGAACTTCGTCGAACGAAAGCGTCATGTCATTATCTTTGTCTGCGAGTTTCAGAGCATTCTGTATATCAATAAGTTGGTCACGCTTGCCAACCTTTCCCATGATATTGTTGTACCCCTGAAAACACAAAACTATTAATAAGAAAACTTTTGATCCGTCTGTTTTACTTACATATCTAATAACTCGGAGATATTTACATCTTTGAAAATAAACATTAGCACAAAAACATAGCAAAGTCATCAAAATCAAGCTTATTTTTAAAACTTATGAAACAAATGCAATCATATTAATAGTAAAAATTATCTCAAATGTTGGTATACGTATAAAAGCTTAGTAAGTTTGAAACAAATGGCTTTGTTAGCCAAAAGAGAGTTGTGTATACTTGAAATAAAAGTTGATATTTCATATACATGTACAGATGCAGTGCTTATACTTATATTCATACCCTTCTTTATAATGTATTTTCTTAACAATGTTATTTATCAAACATGTGTATGTCGCACGTTATTTTATACATTCCATTCCATTATATATAACTAGCAAAAGTATCCGGCTTCGCTTGGGTTATTAGGCTGATATATTCTAGATTACTATGTCAGTGTGTGTGTATTCTGTATAAGGAACCACTTCTTTTCTATTTGGTTTTTCGATAGCTTGCCTCATTAAAAAGATACGCACGCACGTACATAAGTAGTAATACTCAGGTGCAAACCCTCAGGGTCCACTTATTATGGGTGCAAAATTTCAGGTTTCTTGGTTCTTTCGTCTTGGAGCTATGGCGGTCACACAGACGCAAACACGCACGTGCGTGTCTGCCTGTCTTTGATTTCTATTTGTAATATAAGGAACCACTTCTTATCTATGTGGTTTTTCGCTAGCTTGCATCATTAAAAAGATGTGCTTGCGCAAGTGCACGCGGATAAGATAAGCAATAATACCAAGGTGCACAACCTCAGAGTACACTTAGCATGGGTGCAAAATTTCAGGTTTCTAGTTTTTTTTTCCTTTTGGTGCTATGGCGGTCACATATTCGTTCCTCACAAAAAAATGCGCTCTCGCATATGGATAAGTAATAATACCCAGATGCACACCCTCAGGGTCCACTTAGCGTGTGTGTGCAAAATTTCAGGTTTCTAGGTTCTCTCCCCTTGGAGCTATAGCGGTCACACACACACAGACCCACAGACAAACAGACACGCCCTTTTATTATTATAGATATATTTAGCAAAATATTTTCTCTCACAGATTTTGAGCAGAATAAACATCTCTAGTTCATTTTAATAAATAGACATATGAATAATTTGTTTTAATGTTCAGAAAATTGTTAATTTGTTTAATTTATACATATACTTTGTGGTTTAGCTTCTCTTAATGTCCATTTTGAAGGATTATATTTAATAAATCATCCATATTTTACCATCCTCCTTTATAAATGAGGAGAAAATAACATGTATTTGCATGTATTTGTATTTGCATTTATTTATGTGAGACATAGCGTAAGTTAAATCTAAAGACTATTAAACAAAAAAAGTAAAGTCCCTAATATAGCAGTAATAAACTAGAAAGAATGCAGTTAGTTAAAACCACCCACTGCCAATTATTAGGCTATTCTTTTATCATTGTGATTGTCCCTCACATGTTAAGTGACGGGGATTCGAACCCGCGAATCGCAAATTACGAGTCGAGCACCCTAACCACCACGAAAAAATCGATCATAGATCCTGTACTCAATGGAATGTTAATAAATAATATAAATTATGATCCAATCAAATAATGTCAGTGGTTGCAGAAACTTTAGTTTAGTTGGTGTAAAGCTCAAAGCTACACAATGGTCTACCCACCATTGGTATCGAAACCCGATTTTCAGTGAAGTAAGCCTGCAGGCAGATATGCTTGGCGACACAACCTAGAGAAGTGTTTTACATTTATGATAAATTTAATTTGTAGACATTTATTTATACAGCAAGTTTGAGACAGAACCCATGAGGAAATATTTTCACCCCAAATATCATCTAAGTTTGGGGACAACTAAATAAAGGTAACAAAACGAATGAAGAAAACACAAGAAGCGTCAAAAGCAAGTTTATGTGACTTTAACAGGAAGTTAGATTTTTTAACACTTATAATTCAATGTATGTATGTTTTGTATATTTTGGTTTTATTGCAAAGCTGCAGAAAAGATTATCTTCCCTTTATTCGCCATGCGGATCCAACTAAGAATTATAGCAATTTACATCCCTTATGTTACCACTAAGTAGCCAAAGAAAAATTAGTCTGCTTAAAAAACACAAGAAAACTATAAACTTATATGAATGTGTCGAATAGCTTGTATTCAATGAAAAAAGAGCCAAATACAGAACTTTAACTTACGTGATGCTGAGTTACTTTTAGTAGATAATAAAGACATTTTCTTAAAGAAATATCTGTTGTACAGAGGTTGAACACGTTATATTGAAATGTTTGTGGAGCCTCACTACATCCTTACAGTCCATGTCGAAACGTCTGGTTATCCTCTATCTGCCTACCGTGCATTTTTACAATAGTATTGATGCGTAGTTTCCCTTGCAAAATAAATATCCTTTCATTTTCTAACCATTTGGGGTATGCGACGGTTGAACTAATATGTCGAGAAAACAGCTTGTGTATACGTGGTTATTTCGCGTAGTGTTGCCTGGGAGACGTGGACGGCTTTTACCTCTGATCTTCGTGTTCATAGTGTCTCAAATGTTACAAGGCACCTCATTTTGGTACCACATCTGAGATAAGACTCGCTGCAGGTCGCTTTCTAGATGGTTCTAAATCCCCAAGTTGATCCATATTCTTTTGTTTTCCAATGCCACTAAGTACAAGGGATATTCCCTTCTTAGAAATTCTAAAGTCATTTTTTTATATGACTGTATGAATATTGTGCGTTTGAAAGGGTTGTTACATACCCTTCCTAAAATCGATCAATTTTCGATGGCATCACAGTGTGAAATTGTAGTTCTCATACAAACCGTTGTAATCCAACTTTATGTCAACTATGGTTGTCATTTGAGTTGCTGATTTAGATATTCAAAATCATTTTAATATAATACCCAAGCCTTTATATAAGTTTAGGGAAATGTTTGTTTTATTCTGTATTTGATTGGTATAGATAGTTTAATTTCATAATTTTACTTATATACATTTAAGCTGACTGACACTCACCCGTTTAAAGTAGTCAGCAATTTCAAACTCATTTTTGTGACTTGAAAGCTCAGATTTTACTTCTGCGTAAGTATCGTTGATTATGGCCAAGAACATGTTCTGCAAGAAGAATTAGATGAGATTAGATTTTTTGCAAGAGAATACTAACTATTGAAGAAGTGCTGATAAAATATTGTCTAAAAATAAATAAAATAAGTTTATAAGCAACAACACTCACCATCAGGACAAAGAACACGAAAAACACATAGCTAAGAAAGAATATTGGTCCAAGTACTCTATTGGCTGCCTCAATCTCATCGAAATTAAAATCTCCCAGTATGATACGGAGTAAAGTAAACCTGTTAAATACATAAACATTATTTAAATTAAGAAACACTTGTTCTACATATTGTAAAATGTGTAATTCAAGACGTAATTTTGAGATTATGTATTTATTTAAACCGTCAAACTACTTCATAAAAAAAAAACTTACACGGACTTAAGAAAGTTTCTGAAATCTTTAATTTGTGTTCCAAACAACAGGTAGCCCAGTTGAGCATAGGCCAAGAACACAATACAAAACATGATTCCGAAGCCTGCAATGTCCTTGGAACACTGTTTAGGAAAGAGAAGAAGAAATACAGATTCGTGAGATGATATTTAATTAAATGTCTGCAAGCATATCATGATTATGAAATATTATTATCCAACTCAACGTTAAGTTTTATTCATAAACCAATGAAATAGCGTCGATTAAAACAGTGCAATAAGCCAATAGATGTCTCCACCAAAAAGCAATAGTTAAACTGGGATTTTAAAAGAAGTGGAACTCCCTTTTACGATTAACTTTGACATTCCAACCGGAAGACCAGGGACGCTAATGGCTTCAATCCTCAAGAGGAAGAATTCCGTTCCGGATCGTTCCGCCCCAATTCAACCCCTGGTTTTTAAAGGTTCATTTCAAGACATATACAAGAGAAATTTTTGACTTAAAAGTTTTTGGCTCACAGTTAGTTTCTTTTAATAAATATTGAGACTTTATATCATTACATGAGAGTTTCAAATTGATCATAAAATAAAGTTTCTCCTTACCCGTGACAGAGTTGACGAAAGCTGAGTCATAGTCTTGTTAAAACTTATGTACTTGAAGATCTTAATCCATGCAAAGAATACAGTTATGGCAACGGCACTATTAAATTGAGTTTGCCAAAACCCAAGAGATTCGAAATCTGCGTATACATCCGGGTTTTCAAGCAGACTCTCCATCATACCGTTAACCGTAAGAGTTCTAAAAATGCTGAATCCTATACACACGAGTGATATCTGCGTAAAAGGGGGGGGGGGGTTAAAAAAAGAACATGATGTTAAGTATAGGCACATATATTTGAGAATATATATTTTTCGTTCATTTTAAAATAAAACATGTTTGAAATTAAAATTTGCCACTAACAAAAATGCAACTTCTGCTTCATACTGTTAGAAGTGAAACGTTGTAACCATAAATATCATATTATGTATACCCGATAAGAAACAAGGCTTAAGCTTGATATTCTGTTCTCTGGTGAACGAGCTTTCAGAGTTCAAGAACCTCTGGCCTTTATGACTTATAAGCCAGAATTGAACCTAATGGATAGTTCCATTAATCTAATGCGACTTTTTAAAAATCATTTACGTACGTCACCACTGTCAAAAACGTGCACATTATTGTTCACGTAACTGTAGCTTTATTTTGATTGTAGACTAGCAGCATCCTCTGCAATTTTGTAAAATTTCCCTATTCAACTGGTTGAAAACACCGGAAAAAATCATATTGACAAATTCCGCAAGTTTGAGATTCTTGAACTATGATACACATTTTTAAGTCAATACCATAAAATGCCCAATATGTGGCGCTAAACTCGTATTTTATATTTCAGGAACTTTTTAAAAATTCATAATATTTGAAAGTGCAGTTGAAAACCTAATTATTCAAAACTTACCAAGATCACAAAAATATCCAGTAGATTCCAAATCGACTTGAAATACTTGCATTTATTCTGTTTAATCTGGAGAATAAAGAACACCAATTGAGTAACTAATTATTTATAGACAAGCTCGTTTATTTAACGACAGTATCAATCACCTTGAATTGAATAAAAAAAGTAAAACAATCTCTTCTGAAACTATAATCTGTGTAATATATAAAAGTGTGAGTACGTTATATTAAAACGTTTTGGAGCCTCACCACGTCGTTACAGTACACGTTGTCAAGTCCGACCATGCCTTGTCTGACGGCCCTGAACGTTGATAATAAAAGTGGCACGTAGTTTCCACTGCAAAAGGATCCGTCGTAAGATTGACACGTCTAAAGAAAACCATTCTGAATACTTTCCATAATACATATAGTAGAAAAAAACGGTTTCTCACAGCCCATTTCACCACTCTGATCGCACAGAAATGCATAGGCGCTGCGTCCGCTGACTTGACCTATAATACTTCGTATGGAATAGCATGAATGCCCGTTTTATTCTCCAGCTCTTTGAGGCATACGTACACGTGACTTATGTTCCTTTAAAAGATGGAGCTCCATCTTATTTATGTTGTGCATACTGTTGGTTGGGGCACATGGATGGCTTTTGCCATTGACCTTTATGTTCATGGATTTTCATAGGTTGCACTACGCCGCACTTTGATTTTTTTCAAAGCCATTAAATAGAATGGAAATCCTGTATTTAGAATTCTAAATCCCTGTTTTGAACACATCTTTACGATTTGAGTGTATGGATATTTTGGGTCAGAAAGGACTGTTTTCTCCCCTTCCCAAAAGCGATCAATTTTCGGTATATCACACTACGTACAAAACGACAAACAATGTGAAAATGTAGTTTTGATACAAGCCACTCCGTTGCGACTTTATATCAGATTCGGTGGTCACGTGACTTGTTGATTTTCTTATTAAAATCGCTTTAATATAACATACTCAATTTTTTGTGACGTATAAGTTAATGAATTAGAATAACTGTCAGTGTTATGTTTCGTAAATTTCAAAGAAGTAAAACTTTATATAACATTCAGCAGAACATCTATAAAAATTACAAGAAGGGTAAATTGGTAATCAAATTTTTCATTAGAAGTGCATGCAATAAAAAAATAAGACATACACATAACTACAGTGTAATTTTCAAACTCGAAAATGTTTCGTAATATTTCCAATGCACATTATTTCACGTATGAACATGTCAACAAGAAAGGACGGATGAAACACGTAAAATATTTGTTTGTTTGTTTACACTTACCACATAAGATCTGTTTATGTATAACTGTCCCTAATTCCGAATTTATAGAAATAGTGGAAAGGTAGCTAGCTGGTCAACAGTACCCATCATCAACTCTTAGGTTACTCCTGTCGAACACTATTTAAAACTTATAAAGTGCACCCACGATCCCAACGCACGGAGTGTATTTGTGTGCGTGTGTGTGTTTTGTTATAGCAAAGCTACATCGACCTATCAGTAACATCACCAGTTTAGTTTTATTTATAAAAACTAAGATATACCCTTCTTCCTCAATATACACGCAATATATACGCATTTGACTTTGGGGTCAGGCGTAGCCTGGTAGTTAGCATGTCCAGATGGGGATTCGAAGGGCTTGTGATCCGTGTCGTGTTGCCACAAAAATACACTCGTCCTCTGGTGGGACTGCGGTAAGTTTTCGGCTTTACAACAAGTTCGATTCCCCTCGGTAAACACAACAGATAGCAAAAATAGTTTTGACTAAATTGAGATACTTTCAATACATCCTTAGATTTCTGTTAGCAAAGCTATAATTAGAAGATGCAGGAAATGAGCTAAATTTAAGTCTATTTCCTTAACAGAGAGGATAATGCAAAGTTCACTCAATGAATGTTGAACTGTACATTGGTCAAACTTAAAAATTTCAGCGTAAAAGCTATTCAACAAAAAAGCCGTAAAAAATTAAAAAACAATCATATTCCTGTCGGTTATCACTGCCTAATTATTGAACATTTGATGACATTGTGCGATTTTTTTAAAATATTGCAGGTTTGCTATCGCTAAGAAACGAATACAAAGGTTGTTTCAATTAAATGCATTTTCTGAAAAATAAAAGGCACTTCGGAAGAGAAATCAAGGTGACAAATTGTATGTGCTCAATAGGGTGTAATTACAAGATACCAAATTTACTGTTTCGATTTTGTAAAGTCAGCCATTTTAATGTTTTATTATTTATTTATCTATATTTTCTAATGTGCATTTTTTATTAAGAGACTCAGTTGTAAATTTATGAAATACAGAAAATCAGCTGAATCATGGAATATAACACAAACTCTTCCTCTCTCCTCTAGGCACACAAAACAAAATATTCATTCGTCTCCCTCAACCAGTACCAATTCATCATGCTCACAAAATCAGTCTAATATTTTTACGCTCAACCAAATATAGTGCGCTGTGTTGTAGTTCGAAATATGGGACAAATTAAGTTGGAAGTAAATCACTTAAAATGTATCCTTTTATATAACTGTTACCAATTTTCTTTGCTAATCTTAATCCTCAGTGTTGTAAAATTATAAGACGCCATGAACTCCTCTCTTAATGGGTTCGACGAGCCCTTCGAACACCATCCGCGCCTGTCAATAACAAAATTCAAACTGGTTTGCTTATACTTAAAAAAGAGGGAATCATCAATAGCCGCGGTACTTGAAATTATTTTAAGCAGGATTCGAGTGAATTAATCTATGAGGCCTTTTTTCCTTTCATTTGCTATATTTTTGTGCACCAGCAATACCAAGAGTGGAGCGTGCGTATACCCGATTCGATTTTATTACTCATCAGGATCTCAACCAGCCTACCCTGATTAGGATTAGGATTAGAGTAAATTAATCTATAAGACCTTGGGCGTGGTCAAACATATCAGTCGAATTGGTTTGTTTGACCTCCTGAATCCAAAACTGCAATTAGATCTCAAATTGGTCAACAGGTGGAGCCCTGAGATAACGTTCGTGCTTGAAAAAATAAAAAAACTCAGAGCCATTTTATGAGCCGCTATACCGCGGCTAAAAAATAGTCCAACGTGAAAGTACTCTTGCCCTACTTAATGTTGAAAAATCATCTAGTAACTCAACTTTTGCTTATTTTATTATATTTCTTAATTAAATGAAAATTACGTATTTCAATATTACTGAGCAGGAAAAAGTGTAAAATTGTTCATGGAAAAATGCAGCAAACTCGGATAAGAGTTTCATTCAAAGAATGCTAATTTTAAAGCAGTATGTAATTCGCATCTTGGAATACCACAGTGAAAAAGAGAAAAAACTTCCTGCTTTTAATCCATCGACATGGTGAATTTTCTTTGTAATATTTAAGGTAAGTTGTACATTCTTGTGCAAAATTATGGTATTCCGTAGGTATTCAAAATTGGTGCCATATGCTTTCGTAATATTTCGTGTGCAATAAACTCGTGGCTGTTTCTATCGCTCGACTCGCAATCTGAGAGTCGCGGGTTCGAATCCCCGTCACACCAAACATGCTCGCCCTTTCAGCCGTGGGGGCGTTATAATGTGACGGTCAATCCCACTATTCATTGATAAAAGAGTAGCCCAAGCCGTCCCTAATTTAGCAGTGTAAGACTAGAGGGAAGGCAGCTAGTCATCACCACCCACCGCCAACTCTAGCGCAGATAGCCCTCGTGTAGCTTTGCGCGAAATTCAAAAACAAACAAACTATTATAAAGACAAATAAACTGTAATATGTTTTAGGAACATGTTATTTTCATATAAAAAAACTTATGGATTTATACATAGGAAAAAAGTGAAAAAATGCTATTCTAACAAAGACAGTTTCTTGAACGACATAAAAAGGAATTTCTTCTGATATTTACTCATTCAAGTACAAATTAACGTTTGTCTGCGCACATTTTCAGAGCGTCAGTAATGGACAGCTATATAAAACAAACGATTTGTCACAGTACAAGTTAATCTTTGTTAAACGTATCTCAGTATACTTCTCATTACTCCCTGCCTTCGAGCTTTGTCAATACTTTTAAAAAAATCAAAAGTACAAGTCAGCCAGACACATGAGAAAAAAGCCTTTCCGAAAATACAACACTCTAAAAGCAATATTCATTTACTAAACAGCTTTTTTGTGCAGTTAAATAAATAGTATTACCTCAATGGTTTCTTCGATGATGTAGTAAATGATGAAGAAGCAGAAGATGCATTCGCAAACCAAAACGAAATAATCAAAAGCTGTCACATACCGAAGTAGTTTCACTGTTCGGAAACTCCAGGAAGGAATCATGCCGCCTGTGGCTGGGAACTCGAACACTAGCCTGAAAGGATCAGCCAGTTTGTAAACTCAGAATAAACACAATAAAAGAAAGCTGTGGTTCAAACTAAGACCAATTTTTATGAAAGTTTTTAATGAAAATAAACCCAGAATAAATACAATACTGGAAAAGCTGTGGTTCAAACTAAGACCAATTTTACTGAAAGTTCTTAAGGGAAATAAACCCAGAATAAACACAATAAAGGAAAGCTCTGGTTCAAACTAAGACCAATTTTCGTGAACGTTTTTAATGAAAATAAACCCAGAATAAACACAATAACTGAAAGCTGTGGTTCAAACTAAGACCAATTTTACTAAAAGTTTTTAAGGAAAATAAACCCAGAATAAACACAATAAAGGCAAGCTATGGTTCAAACTAAGACCAATTTTCATGAAAGTTCTTAAGGGAAACAAACCCAGAATAAACACAATAAAGGAAAGCTCTGGTTCAAACTAAGACCAATTTTCGTGAAAGTTTATAAGGAAAATGGTAAGATGAAAATCGAATACATTTTCTATAGAAACTGAAATATTAGTTGGGCAAAGCCGATATATTTTTTAATTTCACAACAAAAATCAAAAGGATCGGAAATTTAACCTTAACACCATTTGTTTATATAGAATTTAACGAATATGTAGCATTGATACTACTAATTTATTCTTTCAAATCATTTTCGACTTTCCCTTATCCAAGATTACTGATGATGAGTGGAATTCGCCGAAACCGGCATAACTTAGTGACAAGTGATGAACGGGATGATAAGTTGGAATTAATATTTATTTTTAATATCAATACGATTTTGATTCGTTTACTTCAAAAACATACAAAACAAAATTTTAATGTCCACCATATATATCTATACTATACTCTCCAAATTGAAGAAGCATTGAAATGTTATTATCAAAATAAACTTAAGGCTGTTTGATATGAACCACGTTCTAAAAAAAAAACAAAAAACTCTTACTTCACAACGCAAAATAGGTTGATGTTGGCGTTGTAAGTAGTGAAATCTAGGAATACTACACGAGTAGCTCGAGAAATCCATAGGTTTGCACGGAGTTCCTGCATGACAGCTACAGCCTGTGATCTGTTTGTACCAAGATCAGCATAGGCTCCTGCTCCACTGTAACTAGCTAACAAACCCCAGTGGCCGGAGCCATTCATCTCCTTCTCCGTAAAATAATTCCATCTAGATAGATCAGGTTTGTTATTTTTTTATTGATGTGTATACCATTATTGAAAAATATACATGTATATAAATAACATCAATCACTTTAGTGCAGGAGATGTTAAATTTTAGTTAATAATTTCTGCTAATATGTTCATAAAGTACTGATAATACACACGATGTTTTTGAATTTAGAGCACTTACATGTAAACTACTAAGGATGAGCATGATACATTCTCTTTCATCTTGCCGCCGTCACGGCTTCCTGCAATTGGTCAGATTACTATAAATACTAGTGTTCAAGAGTGTAAATACTGAGGTAATATTTCAAAGAGGATTTCACAAAGGTTCATAAGAACAGTCTAGATTGTATTTATAACGTTTAATTACTAATTTATTTCTTGTTTCTACTTAAGCACAAAGCTACACAATGGGCTATCTGTGCTGTGCCCACCGTGGGTGTCGAAACCGAGTTTCTAGCGTTATAAGTCCGCAGACTTACTACTGGAGGCGGGCTGTAATGTTTTAAAGTTCTGATAGTAATTTAAAATTTCTATTTTAAAATGAGTACGCGAGCTCTAATGTTTTAAAAGTTCTGGTAGTAATTTAACACTTAGATTTTGGCTCTGATATCAGAAGTAAATTGGTATTCATTTTGAAATATAAATGTAAAATTATCACCAGAATTATTCTTTTTAAGCCTAGCTTACTAGAAAGTACACAGTACTAAATTTCTTCAATGTTCCAAGAGCAGACAGAATATTTTGGAGTTTTAGACTTATCAAAAGAATTAAAATCACAACTGACTGCAAGATGTTTCTTCTCACATTCTCCTTAATTTTATGTGTTTATGTTTTAGCAAAGCCACATGGGGCTATCTGCTGTGTCCACCGCGTGGAATTGAATCCTGGATTTTAGCTTTGCAGTTCCGTAAACTTACCGCTATCTCACCGGGGGACGCCTTAATTATGTCCTTATGGATTTCACATCAAAGGTGTAAAAAGAGCATTTCAGATTTACCATTTATCTGTCTCAAGTCACTGCTAAGAAGGCCTTTCGTTTAACACCAGGCCCATCAACTGGGGCTAGGCTAGACCTACATCAACTAAACATTTAAGTGAATTTTTTTTTTTTCATGGAACACAAGAGTGTAATGAAATGCTCTAAGTATTTTTTAATATAACGATAATATGTTATTTTAGAATATAATATATATTCCAATTTCGAAATCGATTAAAAAACTAAATAATATATTTATCAAGAATTTATTATAAATCCATACGTAAGTGTCAATTTTACTAGTAATATAATTTTGTTTAATATAATTCATTTTAGGATCAACAACCAGAACTGATTTAATTCGATAGAAACGCAATTCTATTAAATTAAACCATAGAGTGAAAATATTTCAGTCTGACAGAAATAATCTTCAGAAATTCAGACAGCGACATGCCATTTCTCGGAACTGTAGCACTTTCTAGAGGGATTCACCGTATCTTCTGTCTGTTAATAGTAGGATGCAGATTGGATTGAATCACATTTTTTTTATATCTTCTACAGACGAAAGGTATTGACATGACTTCTAATTTAAATATCTATTAATTGTTAGTTTACCCACACTGGAAAACTGCATTAGATTGATTGAATCTTTGTAGCCCTATTATTAAAAGTGTGGTTTTACACAGTAGCAGAGTATACTGAGGGCACTACAATTCAGTTTCAAGAATACAATCCGTTCTCAATCTAAAAATTGTGGTTTCACACAGTAGCAGAGTATACTGAGGGCACCACAGTTCAAATTCGAGAATATTATCCGTTCTCAAGCTAAACGTGTGGTTTTACACAGAAGCAGAGTATACTGAGGGCACCACAGTTCAAATTCGAGAATATTATCCGTTCTCAATCTAAACGTGTGGTTTTCGTCCATTTTTAGCCGTGGCATAGCGGCTCATAGAAGGACTCTGAGTTTTTTTCAAGTACAATCTTTGAGCTCGTAACTCCATCTCTGGACCGATTTGAGACCTAATTACAGCCGCGGCTATTGGGGATTCCCACTTGCTTATTTTTTATTCATCTAAAAGGAATATGTACTCTTAGTTCTTATAATTATAACAGAAAAAAATAGAAAATTTGCATCACGCAATTCTATTGCATTTCTGAAACACTGACGCACAAACACACAAATTAATCTATATATACTTAAGAAAGGCAGTATAAACAAATGTAGATATAACCAAACATATCCACTCTTATAGCACATTCCTTTAAAATTAATGAATGTTTTACTATGTAAATAAATATTTATGCATATTTCAGACTCTTTTTTTTTTAAATCTGCGATCATTAAGTGTCAAAAAAAAGACGATCAGGAAGCTTTTTCTTCTTAGATATATTCTATTTCACCATGTTAACTGTTTGTTATATTTGTTCCCAATAAATCAAAATCCCATTTCTCAATGCACTGTAAGGGTTTAAAAGACCTACGATGTCCCATTCATCAGTCCAAAAGGTTTCTTATCTTCGACCTGAGGTGAATAGACTTCATAGCAATTCGATATGGCATTCTTGAATTCATCGTGGACGTTGCAAGAGTCATTTCTGACTCTGAGCTGCCGAAGTCGTGGAGATCCCAAAAGTCGGTTTTCATAAAGAATGTTTCGATCTTCAGTGGTGGTAGGATTGTTATTGTACCATGTCTCCCAATAAAGACTGTCCAGCATCACGTAATCAACAAACTGAAACATGTAGTATTATCTCATCAACAGACAAAGAAAGTATGGCAAATTCAAAAGAGAATTTGCAAGATAAAAAAAAAGGCACAATTACTTTAATCATATTTGTATGGCACATTCAATCTGATATAAATTGGTTTTGCAGTCTTTAAGACTGAAGGCTCATCTTGACTTGAGTGTTTGATTAAAATATATATATTTCGGAACTCTATATATATATATGTAGTTCAAACTATAACTTTAATCCTAAAACTAAAATATGGCAGAAATGTTAAGATTGCTCATAAAAATGATAATAATGATAATCAAATTGATATTGATTAGCCTTTTGTTTTTAGATCCTCGGATGATATCATGTTAGACTATCCTTCGCAATGATAATAATCAACACTCAACGTGGCAAACTTTACAAGATTTCAAAGGTTGTCATCCGTTATTTGAGAGTATGGTTCGTAAATGTAATTCGGTAGTAGATTGTTCAATCATATTGTGATCCCTTACTTGTATTAATCAAGAAAAATATCTCCTAAAATCATTGTAGTGCTCCTTGTACCAATTTTTAACTCTGTTCGTGTTGGATAGTTTCTGTATTGTTTTGGAAGAGTGTTTGTCCATCATGATGTGAATGCAGCAGTTAGAGGTGGACCTATTTGCACTTGGTACGGTTGGAGTCAATGTTTTATGGAATTTGTCAACTGCAATATCTCTGAAGTCTGTTACCTTTTTATAGGCCTATTCAGTCGCCTTTTCCTTGGCCGGTCACGAGTGGTTAGGGATCACAGTTTTCTCTATTGGCAAATGTAGTTCTCTTTGCTTGTCAATGTTAATAGGGGGCAGTTGTCGTTAAACAGACGGTAAAAAAAACGGTATTTAATAATGAATCCGCGCTACAGTTGGATAAATCCTTTTTATTATCTATTGTTGGCAGAATGACTATAGTTTCATTTATAATACGAGCTCAATGAAATACCTGACACATTAGTTGAACAGACTATTTTGCATATGTAAGGCAAAAGAAGTGTTTGTAATCAGAAATGACAAATTGGCGTTTTGTTTTAAAGTACACAGGGATGACAAATGTATGATTGAACCAAATCCTTACATCGATAATTTTGAAAATAAATTTAATTATGACTGAAATATTTGGAACTGCCAAATTTATATTATTAAGACAGTTTAACTGGTTACTTGTATTACTGGTTTAGAATAAATATATATTGTTGACCCACAAAAAATGTATACAAAACTATAGCCAAAAATTTCTTCTTGACATTTGCACGAAATTTCCTCATGTCTGTCAGCAGATTAGGGTTTCTCAGTGAACAATTTCCACTCACCATTTCATTCAGTACAGTATCATACTTAAAACCAAACCATATGAAAAATGTTTCTTACTATAAAACAAATTTTAATGGGTTTACGACATGTATACTCATGACAAACTAACCTCATTTTCACATTTTATTAAACAAAAATTTCCTCTGATTCCTTAGGTCTATGTGAAATTATTTGATATTTTTCAAAAGGTTTTTCGAAATCGTACTCTTACAAAACTGGTTTTGCAAAGAAAAGTATATATTAATCTCCACTTACTCTCCAAAAGTCTATAACCTGAGTAGAGCCTCGAACGTTGTTTCGTGTGTCATTGTAAGGCGATTCCAAGAATAATTCACTTATCACTTTGGTCTGGTAGTACATCACGGGACTCATCATGCCGAATGTCACTGAGAAATAACATAAAAAAATGAAGAAAAGTAATCAAAGTGCAAAAGTTTGTTGTAAGTATAAAGAGGTCATAATGTACTTTTATGCAATAGAATTAATATAAAACGTCATAAGTTTTTTTGTTGGAGAGGGGGTAAGAATTTTGAACCAATTTGTACAACTGAATATAACTTATTAGTACACTAATTTACTTAGGAATTATAACTTTATAGAAATATTAGAACCTGCACACTGGATAATTTAATAATATTCACTGTTAAGAGTCTTGATGATACTGAAAAAAAGCTTATCCTTGAAAATCAGCTTAGGTTTCAGTAGGATATTCAACATATAATGTTCTTTCAAATTAATCACCGGTTTCATCACAGCACTGAAACTCTCATAATTCTTGCAACACAGTTCATAAATCTAAAATAATTTTGTTTTGCGTGTACCATCTATGAGAACAACGACGCTATTAAAAATGTACAATGTCCTGCAAAAGTATTCACCTCCTACCAATACTGTCACATTTTGATAAAATACAAATAATGTAAATATTTTTTAATGAACTTGTTTTTTATTCAAAACTACAATGATTAAACTTAACACTGTTATGTGTGAAGGAGGTTGAATGTCAGCAAAACTTGCAAAGAAAATATATGAATTGAAATTTGCTAATTGCATAAGTATTCAGCCCTCTAAGTCAGTACTTGGTGGAAGCACCTTTGGTAGCAATTACTGCTGTGAATCTTTTTTGGATAGGTCTCTACCAGCTTTGCGCAATGGGATGGTGTAGTTTTTGTCCATTCTTCCTGGCAAAATTGCTCCAATTCTGACAAGTTCATTGGAGTCGTTAATCTTCAAGTCTCGCCATAAATTTTCTATTGGATTCAAGTCAGGACTTTGACTGGACCACTCCAGGACATTCACCTTCTTCTTTTGAAACCACTCCAGTGTGCTTCGGGTCACTGTCATGCTAAAATGTGAATGTTCGACCCAGTTTTAGATTCTTGACTGACTCAAGTAGGTTTTTCTCTAGGATTCGCCAGTACTTTACACCATCCATCTTCCCCTCAATCCTGACAAGTTTCCCAGTCCCTGCTGCCACCATCATGCCTGACAGTTGGCATGGCGTTGACTGGATGACGTGCAATGTTGGGCTTGCGCCAAACGTAACGCTTTGAATTTAGACCAAAAAAGCTAAATTTTTGTCTCGTCTGACCACAAAACCTTCTGCCACATGTCTGCGGTATCATTTACATGCTTTGTTGCAAACTCCATACGAGATTCAAGATGATTCTTTTTCAATAATGGCTTCTTTCTTGCCACTTGCCCATACAGGCCAGCTTTGTGTAGAGACCGGAGTGTTGCCGATGTATGAACACTGACTCCCAACTCAGACATGAAACTTTGCAAATCTTTCAAAGTCACTGTTGGCTTCACAGTGGCATCCCTAACCAGTTTCCTGTTTGCCCAGCTGCTTAGTTTGGAAGGTCAGATTGATCTTGGTAGTGACTGAATGGTTTGAAGCACATTTCACTTCTTAATGATGGACTTCACCGTACTCAAAGAGATAATCAACAACTTCGAAATTTTCTTGCAACTTTCTCTTCATCTGTGCTTCACTACCACTTTATTCCTGACTTGTTTAGAAAGCTCCTTGGTCTTCACGGTTGGTTTGTCGTATCACTATGTGAGTTGTGGCTTGAACAGATGTGTTTACTCTGAAGTCAAGTTAAACCACTTTGATTACACACAGACAGAGACCATTACGCTAATATTTTGTGATCTTTCAAACTAATATTTTGCACCTGAACTGATTTAGGGTTGCCGTAGCAAAGGGGTTGAATACTTATGCAATTGAGAATATTCTAATTTTCTTTGGAAATCTAACTTCCATAATATCAGTGTCTTTTTTTTTTGTCTTTTTTTTAGCTTTCTCGGACCCATTTGAAAGTTTCATGATTGCAAGCTCAGATGGCAACAAAATGTGGAAACTTTACAGGGGGTGAATACTTTTGCAAGGCACTGTATATGTAATACTTTTATAAAAAATACTTTAGTTTCATGTAACTACAGATAACGTAGTTTATTGTTTGTGATATAGTTAATGTTACTTTGTTTAAACTTTTCTTACTGATTAACTATTTTTGTGACAGAAATCTGCAGTTTTATAGATTCATCGTTAAATAATAGGTAATGCCGTTGATCATTACTGTGACTTAATCTAATTTTATTGCCTGGAGCTGCATTACTAAAAACGTCCTGTGCTAAACAACAGTGGTGAATAATGCTTAAATAGTTACAGTTTTTTAACCCATGTTAAGAAACAACACTTGAAATCTTACTGTTGAGTCTTAGTATCTCATATCTTAAGTAGTAGCAGTATTATATTATTGAAAATCTTACTATCGTGTATTTCTATACCCTATGTTAAGGAACAACAGTGTAGTTTTACTGGGAATGTTACTGTTGTGCGCAGCCTTTTCTTCTTCCTTCTTGCTTTTATTCTTGCCATTAGGTTCATATATTAAATTTTAAAATCATACAACCCAATTAATTAACATCATATTATTGACTGGACTCGAAACCATCCTAACCATACTTATAAGTAGCAACAGTAGTGCATCAGTTTAAGAGATATTTATATCCTGGCTGGTTGCTTGGTTGTAGAATAAGTCTGAGGAGAGATTCGTGTGATGAACTTCTAACAATTTAACAAGGCTTTGCTTTTTCTATCATACATATTTATATTCTAGGCAATACATTAGAAGAATCAGATTTTGCTATATTTATGATTACAGTTACAAGACCAAAGGGTAAAGTTTTGTTTGTGTTCTGTGTTGGAAATTAGTAGTTTGGCTTCGTATTAACTGAATATGACTGCGAGTTATCTTAAACCACATCATGTTACTTCTGTTTATGGTGTTATATTCTCTTCTAGGTTAGTTTGAAACTAATACAGGGCTCCAATACTGTCTCAATAATTAGTTTTTCGTTTGGTGTTACGTATTAATTATAATAGTTTCTAAATAAGTGCCTTAATTATAATTGTTTTAAGCAAATTATTTTTCAAAATATTATACCCTTTCCTTGAAAACAAAAACATGTTTTGAATGAACCGAATGTATATTTGGATCAAGAACATCAAAAAACACTTCTCAAAAAACACCAATTAAACCCTCTTCAGATATGTTTAAAAATTCTAGAAGTCTTATTTTAAAAGACTATTAGTGAGAATGAATTGTGCCGGATTTTAAAGTTTATGGACCTTCATCAATCATTAGGACAGAAACCGAAACACTCTATATAGAACACACTTAAAACACAGTAAAATCATGTGTAATAACGAGTTAAAACTAACATCGTCGATCAAAATAACGCAATTTAATGTTTTCAGTCTTAGACAACTTAAAACTAATACATCACTGACCAAAATCTACATATTGATATAGCTGCTGTTATAGTTTAGCGCAAAGCTACACATTGGGCTATCTACATTCTATCTACCGCGGGGAATCGAATCCCGGATTCTAGCGTTATAAGTCCGTAAATTTACTGTCGATCCAACGGGGATCTTGAAAAAAACACGAATTTTTTAGACGAAGGGGAAAAAGGGTAGGCTTTTTAAAAAATCTTATAAATCTTGACAAACTGAAACATTTAATACTAGCCGTATGTCCCTAACTTACATGTGTTCAAATTATGTGATACTAACATGAATATGGTGTTGTTTTTATATATATTTTTACAACTTATGGACCAAAATCACGTTATCCAAAATATTTTTATCCAGCACGAACAAATATCATTCATATTACAATTCGTAGTACGGCAAAGTATAGAAATCTCGAACATCGGACCTAGCTAGAAAGCTAAGTAGCATCAAACACTCTTACATTGTGAAAGAGTAAAAAGGTATACGTATAAACAAAATTCACTCTAAACTGGCTCTCACAGCTAAAGACATATAAAGTCCTTTTTAGACAGCATTCTCTATCAGCAAACCTAACTGGGCTAATGCATGCTACTATAGCTCTAATCTGCAATTTTTACCTGGTCGTGGTATGGAAGATGTTATCCAATATGTGCGAATATAAGATTCATGTTACACTAAACAAACCAGTCATTTAAGTATTACAATGCGATAATTTATCGAGAATTCTGCCAAATCTATTGCAATAGAAATAATCAGTTATAAAAAGAAGGAATGCGGATGAGCAAAATCCTCAATATTCCAAATAAAAATCGAATCTATCAAAAAATTGCTAACAAATTACTTTATTTTTACATACAATTTTTGGTTTAGTTTTCAATGTTTTTTAAGCTATTTGCAATGTTCCCACTGAGGGTATCGAGCTCTATGTTTAAGCGTTATATTTAAAAAACTAACAGTGTTATATTAACTTGTCCACCCAAGCTAAATTTGATTTTCTCTTACTTGGTTTCACAACTGAAATAGTACATAAAAAGTCATGTTATTTTGTATTGTGCTTTGCTTTGGTTGTCACTGTCAAGATGGATGAACAGATAAACATACCACAACTTCTACAGTGTTTTCATGAAATAATTTATTATATATCAAAATCTATATCGTATATTATTAATCACATTTTATCCACAAGAAGCCTTCGTAGTGATCAAACGTCACGGAAAGCTGCATTTCGATTGAAAGGAAAAACAAAACAAATAAAAAAGAGGTTAACATATGACAACAATGGCTCTCGTAGAAAAGCTTGTTGCTACGCTTAATACCGGTAACAGCAGCTAAAATTCCCACTAACTTTACTTCGTTACTGGGGCAACCGGTACCAATTCTCAGCTTGAGCTCAAATTTGTCACGGATTCCATTAGACCGTTGGATGACGTGCAACAACCTATTTCAGTAGGTTGATCAGTAAAAATATAAAAGTCAATATTGTCATTTCACAATGAAAATCTTGAAAATTTTAATACGCTCTGGTTTTGCTGCTTACTTTATGCTTATGAACTTTAATCTTCTTGTTTACCTCAAAATTAATTTTGTAAAAACGAACAGAGTGAAGCAACATAACTCGGTAAACAATAAAAGCCAAAATGCTAATCCAAATAACACTAACATTTAAAGTTTTTCAGTTATAGCAAATGAATTTCTTTATGGTTTATTTGATGCAAACGTTAAGTTTTGATTTATGACTTATAAGGAACAGCTAGATTATAAACGTACTTTACAGAAATACTTTCATACCTATTACTCTCAGCTATACATCTTTCCTTCGGAGCACTTACTTTAACGACACAGAATCCATTAGTGCTAACTTCTAGTATTCTGACTACCACATAATTAATTATATTATTAAGTTAACAAAAATTTTTAAAGCTAATGTGAGAACATTAACAAGTATTTCTATTACACGCTCCTTTCTTGACTTATATGCACGTGTGCAAGATCAGAAATTGCGTATTTGTTTACTATATTTTTGGAACTATTGACTGTCTTATTTTGCAAAACAGTTGAAGAATATTTTCCTGTGTCATAGCATATCAGTTTAAAGGGTGATCAACATGATTATAGCATTTGTTTTACACTGTAGAAAGATTAAGATAATCAGCCAGTTTTGTGCTTAAAACTAGGCGTAATACTGTCTTGGTAGTTTAATCATGAAGTTTCTAGCACTCTGATGATTGTTTGTACTGTTGGTCAAAATAACTGAGTTTTGGTTAAGATAATCTTTGACTTAGTACTGAATATTGTTACAGTGTGAACACCTTTTCTAAGCTGGCGAAGCATGATTATAATTAATTATATTTGTCATAAGACGTGTCGTCGGCAATGGATATGGCGAATATAGTGTAGTTAGAATACTATTATTATACATTCTTCCAGTTTTTGAAAATCCCTAAGGGACTAGATAAAGAATGCAGTGTTAAAAATATAATGGACCTAACACTAATGTCAGTACTGAATAGGTTTTCTATTATTAAAACACAATTTGTTCGAGCACAGGCTTTGCATAACCATTATTTTTCCATGAAATTTTCTAATGACATGAAAATAATATCATTAATATATAATTATTTTTCTCAATCTAATTCTTAACCAAGACTAAGTTATTTTGACCAACAGTACAAACAATAATCATTGGCTACTTTGCATTCATGTTATTGCTTTTACTGTTTTTGTAGCAAAGATGACTAGAAACGATGTTTTGTATTAGACACTATATTGGCATTTGTAATTCACTACCCAATGATGTTTACAAACATGGCAATATAACTCACAGATGCAAAGAATGATGACAAATATGACGTAGATAAACAACTCCCTTATGGTTGTCCTGATATACCATTCCCTGTCGGTTTTGCCTTTGCTCATCTGTCGTGTACTCCAACAACCTACAATAAAACATTGATTCATGAAAACATGAAGGAACACAGATTTCTGTCTACGATGTGACATTAATACTCCTTTATATGTATATTTCTAATACTCAAAAAGCAGTGTAATAGATAAAATACTTACTGCAAGTTTTCAAATAATTTTCTTCTTAGCAAGTTTTAGAAAAAAAATTCAGATTTTGCTGTAATTTACCATTATTCAACTTACTCTTTTACTAACATACAAACGAAATAAAATAAATTAGATTCCAAATATTATATTAACGTTTTGCTAATAATTTGTGATCATTAACTTTATATTTTAACTATAAAAGACGTTATGTTAACAGGATTTTAATTAATTAAAATGAAGATATTATTTTATAATTTCTAAACTGTCTTCTTACCCTAAACTTCATTGTTTGGTTATTGTTTTTATCTACAATTTTTTTTTCGTACTGTTTCAACATTTAGCTCATTTCAAACATAGTAGACTAAAATAATCGGACAATGAAAAAAACTGTCGTTTCCGTTCCTTTGTTTTAGCGCAAAGCTTCACAATAAACTGTTTCCGCTCTGTACATCATGAGGAATCAAACGCTGGATTTTAGCGATAAATCTGTAAAGTTATCGCTGACCTACTGGGTGACTTCCGTTACTTTTATATATACTATATGCTAGGCAAGACCTTTAAAAAGTAACTTCTACTTTGAAAATAATAATTCTTAAGATGAACTGTTAATTTATTATACCTCTACCTTAATATATTTATATATTCGGTAGAATTCAGATTACTCTCAACGATCTGATCAGATTTGGATAACTTTATGTATTGATATATTTTTACTAAATATTCTAATATTTCAACTTCTAGCAACAAACTGCATTTTACGATTCGACCTCTATATCTTTATTGAAAATTTTACTTGTAAGTGAAACAAAATTTAAATACCTTTAATTATTTTCTAAATCGAAGCATATGATTCTAGACTTAGGGCAAAACATATTTCGGTATTATCATAGTATTGATGCGAAAAGCTCAAATGCATCGACTTCGAGAAAACATAAATGTACTTATTTTCAATATAGATCATACATGTATTTGGGTCAGGAATAATCTCACACAAGTGGATATAGGCTGATGCACGTTGAACCGATTCTTGTTAATATTGTTAGTCATGAATTAATGCTTTCCTTTTGTAAAGAGTACGTAACATGAACTCTACGAGTACTGTTTCTACTGCATTCTTTACGTATTGTAATTCTTACGTAGCTGTGCATTCTTTGAAAAATCAGCACATTCATAGCATATGCAGTTGTAAGCGTAATTGTCTGATTGTTCTGCGAATAATCAGACTTAGATCTAATTAAACGACAGAATAAATTACTAGGTAACGGCAATTTTCCTTGTGTTCTACTGATATATTAATTTACGCTATAGTATAATAAAACATTTTTTTATCCTAATACCTGGGGTATGGCGAATAATCAGACTTAGATCTAATTAAACGACAAAATAAGTTACTAGGATAACGGCAATTTTCCTTGTGTTCTACTGATATATTAATTTACGCTATAGTATAATAAAACATTTTTTTATCCTAATACCTGGGGTATGGCGAATAATCAGACTTAGATCTAATTAAACGACAAAATAAGTTACTAGGATAACGGCAATTTTTCTGGTGTTCTACTGATATATTAATTTACGCTATAGTATAATAAAACATTTTTTTATCCTAATACCTGGGGTATGACCAATAATCAGACTTACATATAATTAAACGACAGAATAAATTACTAGGTTAACGGCAATTTTTCTGGTGTTCTACTGATATATTAATTTACGCTATAGTATAATAAA